AATGAGCTCGTGGAGCATCACCGGGCTTTATAAAGGAGAGACTACTGCTGTCACATGGTGAAGTTTTCACTTGCCATTGAAAAAATATCTTAAATGTTGTTTATTTTTATTTAACCTGGAAAAAGCTAATAGACAGTTGGATAAAAACACCTGCTAAATGAATAAATGTAGCCTAGGCTATATTCCACAAAACTGAAATTCCACAAATACATAGGCCTACTCTATAAATGTACAGTGTATATAAACAACACCTCTATGAACTGGTTTTATTTAAAAAATAATAATAATAATATATATATATATATATATATGCAGAGAAAAAATTGATTCTCTCATGCATGTGATTGTCATTAAATTATCACATAATGATTATAATTATTATTATAATTATATTTTTTCTTTAACGCTACACTGTTATATTACTTTTGTCCCTCTAGCGGTTGAAGCAATTACAACTAACCTGCGGAGGAACATTGTTTTGGTCATTACATTGTTTTGGTCATTACATTGTTTTGGTCATTACGTGAGTTGCGCTTAGTCTCCGCTATTCTGCGAGGATGAATCTAATGGCTCGAGGTGGATGATCGCATTCAGTGTGGATGTCATTAACGACATCAAAACTCTCTCCAGAGAAAGACGGATATCTGGAAAATATGCTTTATGAGCAGGTAAGCAGCTGATATACCTTTGTTGCTTTGACTTGTTGAAATCAATTGTTTTAAAATTACGTTACAAAAGTTTGGCAACGCCATATGGTTGCTATTAATATCAGATAACCGTGGAAACAATAATTGGCAAAGCTATTTATAGTCAAATAGACCAAAATTTTAACTGGATTAGGAACTGGCATTGTTACCAACATAAAAGTTGTTTTGTGAATCTCCTTAATGCATAGCAAATGCTCTGCATGTTGATTCCTGTGTTTTCTTTTATTTAAGGATATGACGTAAACAGGAACGAGGAAAGTATGTAGTTTCTTTAAATGCTGTCTTACATATTAAGATTGCTCTTCTTTCTTGCGTATGTGGACTTACGAGTCGGCAGTCATATCACCCTGTAGCCCAAGACTGGTTACCCACTGAAGCTAAGCAGCGCTGAGCCTGGTCAGTACCTGGATGGGAGACCTCCTGGGAAAACTAGGTTGCTGCTGGAAGTGGTGTTAGTGAGGCCAGCAGGGGGTGCTCATAAAAGTTATTGTCATATCTGTGTCCTCTTATGTCAGGTTCTTATTTAATCTTATTTGAGGTGTTAGTGAGGCCAGCAGGGGGTGCTCACCCTGTGGTCTGTGTGGGTCCTAACGCCCCAGTATAGTGACGGGGACACTATACTGTCAACAAGCACCGTCCTTCGGATGAGTCGTTAAACCGAGGTCCTGACTCTCTGTGGTCATTAAAAATCCCAGGATGTCTTTCGAAAAGAGTAGAGGTGTGACCTCGGCATCCTGGCCAAATTTGCCCATTGGCCTCTGATCATCATGGCCTCCTAACGATCCCCATATCTGCTGATTGGCTTCATCACTCTGTCTCCTCTCCACCAATATGACACTCTATTTACGTTGTTAATTTAGATATTTTTATACAGTTGTGATATCACAGTTTCCCCCACCAAAACAATGTTGCTTTCTGGAGGATGCTGCCATGAATTGGCTTATTTTTAATTGCGGTGAAGATAAATTGATGATGAAAAAAATATAAATTGATTATCTTTTAAAATAATATTCTTAAGACAACAAGTTTATTAGAGAAAAGAATAAAAATTAAAAAGTGCCTGAAATATTTCTGTTAGTGAAGCAGAAGAAAAAGTTTCAAATCTTAATTGTAATAAAAGCAAACTAATACGTATGATTTCCATCTTTAGATCTTTAGACTTTAAAACATTCTATTCCTCCGAGAAGTTTTTTTTAAAAGGCATGAGTGAGATGGTGCCTGAGTTCTGTTGAGTTTGCTGGCCATCAGCATTTGCATGTAAAAATGGGTCAGTATTCAGACTTCACACGGCATTAAAGAGAGAGATCAGAGCAGACACTGATTCTCGCACACATTCCGCTGTTCTTTCTGTTCTCCTGCTCAACTCGGCTCTTTGAGGAAGGGTCTGTAATCCAGAACACGCTACTCGCCCTGGGCTCTGAGAGACAGTGATTGATCATGGTAGAGGTGGAAGGTCAGGCGACTTTTCCTCAAGACGAGTGATGTGTTAATTGAGTTCATTCCAGGACAACTGGCTTCCACTGTACAGATTCTGAGATACTCAGTCGGGGATTATCTTCTCTAACATTTAGTCCAGATAAACACTACTGATGTGCATAGACAACTAGTCAAGATATATTGAGGAATGTGAACAGGATCCTAATAAATGATCATTCAAAAGGATCCTAATGGGATCAAACAAGAATCCTCTACGTATCAAATTGGAACTGGATAATTATTACTTTTAAAAGTTATTAATCAGTGGGCATTTTTACAATTCCAAAATATTATAACTTATAACTTATAATATATATTATTGTATTATTATTAAATGTTGAAGGAGAAACATGTGGCGCACAAATGAGCCAAAACCGCCAAGATTTAGATTAGTTTGTTTTTTCATAGCATTGCTTCACTTGCTCACCAATGGATGCTCTGCAGTGAATGGGTGCCGTCAGAATGAGAGTCCAAACAGTTGATAAAGACATCACAATAATCCACAAGTAATCCACACCACTCTTGTGAAGTGAAAAGCTGGGCGTTTGTAAAAAACAAATCCATCATTAAAAGTTTTTCTTTTTTAGTTATTGACAAACTGTCACTAATACTACTCCATAATGTTGCTTTCTTCAGTAAAAAAAAAAGTCATCTTGCCTGAATCAGGAGAGAAATTTGCCCAGATCAAACACATTTACAAGTGAAAACTGTCCAAAAACAGTATTTCGACTTGGATTTTGATGCGGGAGGACAACGGGGGTGGACTTTTTCACTGGATTATGGACTTGTATTTTGGCTGAAAGTGTACTAGACCTATATTTGCATTGGAGTTTTAAATTCCTGAAAGACTTGTGCATGATTTTAAACTAGGAGCTTTTATTTGGAGAGACTGTGCGTTTGGTTAATTGTGTCTGATACGAAAGGAGATTGCATACTATATATATATTGAATGTGATCAATCATAAGCATACTAAATGTATCAATCATAAGCTTTTCAAATTAATCTCAAATAAACTTCCCACGCAACACCCACACGAGTGACACCTGAGGTCATTTATTTACAACTGGACATGTCATTCAAATCAGAGTATTATCTAAAAATACAAAGCAATAGGAAATAAATACATTCAGTTGAATTCGGTCAAGGTTTTACCATAATGTTGTACAATCTTGAAACTTTTATCTTGGAAAATACAGTTTCACATACTAATTTTCTGTTTACCAATTTATCAGTAATATTCTAAAGACTCAATGCTTCAATCATGCAGTTTGTAATGTAAAAATAAACCCATTAAGAAGTAAAGCAAAAAACCCAAAGGAGGGCTGTGCAGTGAGAAAACCAAGCTGCTCATTCTGTCCAAAGTTGTGCTGTATTTGCTGGAGCCGCACACAGCAGACCGTGTGCCAGCGGTGGCCTGTGGTGCAGTTTTGATGCAAAAGCGAGTGAAACAGATAATTGTTATTCCTCGCCACACCTCCTTATCCTCTAAAGCGCACCGACATCAGTAACTGCACCTGAAACTCTGGTGCATGTTGGAGCGGAAGGTGCTTTTTAACGAATGGAAAGCTGCACATGCCCTTGACCACTCATGATGCGCTGATGAACGCTGAGGTCTTGAGATGTGCAATACTCCACGGGTCCAATTATACACATATTTGATGGTCAGGCAACAGCTGCCTGGAGGTTCATGGAGGTGGAGAGTGCAAACTACCACACTCACTGCAGAAGAAAATTGCAAACAAAAACTATAAATATTAAGGTAAAGTATTGCTGGTTATGAACTCACATTAACGAATGCCTGGATTTAATGCCCAGTTACAGGTTGGTAAATTGCACTCGTGCGGCTGTTTGATTCTGCACAAATGAGATGAGCTCTGCGCATCAATCTGAGTTGATCAAGCAGTCGAAGCGAAGCTGATCTTGGCACGGCGATCCGTACACCTCTTGGCAGGAGTGTCTGCTTTTGATGCGATGTGCCGTGTTAGGCCAATTCCCACTGATTAATCTCTTCCCCAACAGCAGCGTTTAAAGCACAGGCCAACATTTGACTTTGGTGCAAATTTGTGGATGCACATGCTTACTCACTGATGCATATTAAACAGAAAACACTTCCTCAGGCTAGTGGAACTGAATCTGATTGACTAGTTTTAAACAATTTAAACACTTAATCCACTTGGAAACAAAGTCGTTTGCCAGGTTAGTTGCAACAAATCTTTGTATGAGTTTTTTAAACTTACTGTAAGCATCTGTGAAATATGTACATTTTCTTTACACATTTTAAACTCTTTTTAGTGTTTTCTGTATATCTTTTGAATAGGCTTCTGCATCATTATTTGAATTATTTATTTTCCCACTCAAGTCTGTTATTGTGATATAATGTGTTCAGACAAATCCACAACATTTTACACTATTTTATGTGTTTTCTGTACAACTTTTTGCATAGGCTGCTGCACCATAATGCAAATTATTTATTTTTCCATTTCAGTCTGTTATTGTGGTAAAATCTCTTCAGACAAACCTGCAATATTTTACACTATTTGTAATATATGCATCATTATTTGCATTATTTATCTTTCCACTCCTGTCTATTATTGCAGTATAATCTATTAAGGTGAACCCACAACTCAATGCCACATACAAGCAAAGCAAACCGTGGGTGGTTGGTCACTTCCTGTCATGAGTGGATTTTTGGCCGGAATGAGCTGCGATGCCATAGTCAAATGTTTACAAATGTTGATGCAATGAATGCTTGAGGATGAAATAGTCACTAGATTTGCCAAAGTTAGCCAGCATGAAATCTTTGTACAACACTCTGAGTTTTTTTTTTTTTTATGTTATTCACAAGTAAACTTAAGTGTCTAAAGTATATATTTTTGCAACAGTTTTAAACTATTTGTGTGTGCGTGTGTTTTCTGGACACATTTTTGCATGCTGCTGCATCATTATTTGCATTTATTTTTCAATTCCAGTCTGTTATGGATGTATAATCTATTCAGATAAACCCGCAACTACATGCCAAGTAAAGGCAAAACAAACATTTGCGTGTCAATCAGACGGTCACTTCCTGTCTGTGGGCGGTTTTTGTCCAGAATGAGCTGCTATGCCGTAGTCAAACGTTTACAAATGTTGATGCAATGAATGCTTGAGAATGAAATAGTCACTAGATTTGCCTGGTTAGTTGCATGAAATCTTTGCACGACACTCAGAGTTTTAAAATACGTTATTCGTAAGTAAAGCGTCTGTGAAATATGTACTTTTTCCACAACATGTTCTATTATATTTTGTGTTTTTTGTACGTTTTTGCATGTTCTAGGCTGCTGCATCATCATTTGCATTATTTATTTTTCCATTCCAGTCTAATATTGTCTATTATTTAATCTGTTCAGACAAACCCACAACTCAATGAAGGTAAAAGCAAAACAAACAGAGGTCAGTTGCTTTGCATGTCATTCAGACAGTAACTTCCTGTCTGTGGCCGGAATCAGTTGTGATGCCTTGGTCAAACGGCTGGTATAATGTGTGCCAATCCGTTACATCACTTCCTGTCTTTCTCATGATGCGTTATCCACCTCAGTGTGGCAGCGTGGCCCGTGATGGGGTCGCCGTGATGATGCTCATGGTCTCTGTAGCTGTGGTTGTGATGTAGAGGGTCCATGTCGGCGTACTCAGGCTTGAGCCGAAGCTTGCTGTGAGGGGACGAGGAAACGTCCACATCCCTGTTGAACGAGTTGCCAGGCTGGATGCTGTAGACCTCCATCACTGAGCGCAGTGACCTGGACTGAACTGCAGGAGAGAGGGAAGAGTAAAACAGACCTCAGCCTCGGCACAGTGAGTCACTGCTGCATATTCAGTGTGTTCTGTCTCCGGGCTCCGGCACTTTTTAGAGTCAAACATTCACATGCGGTGTCATCGGTCAAATGTTGTATTTGTATGTACATAGTATTAAACACTTGCCGAAGAGCAGCTCCATCATACATAAAACATTCTAGCTTTAAGAAAAGGAACAGTGTGAACCATTATAAATGACTGGCTGTGTTCTTTTAGGTTTTTTTGTGTCATCATTTATTCAGCCTTCAGGGTCAGAACAACATGAGGGTGAGTAAAAGATTTTCGGGTAAAAGTTCTTCAATTGTACTTTCTAGGTTCTAGGAATAATGATCTTATCAAGACCTGTTTTTTGGCTGTAATGTGTTCTTGATGGAATGATAGGTTCTTCAGATCAGAGTTTTGGATTCTGGGTTTTAATGTCTTGCATGACATGGGCCCCCAAATATGACGAACCTCTTGCTAAAATATGAAGGCAGCTATATATACAGTGGGTACGGAAAGTATTCAGACCCCCTTAAATTTCTCACTCTTTGTTATATTGCAGCCATTTGCTAAAATCATTTAAGTTAATTTTTTTTCCTCATTA